CAGCGGTATGGTATCTTTTATTTTCTTTGCTGCTTTTTTTAAGGTTTCTTTTAATGAATTCATATTTTATTTGTTATATATTTTTTTAATTAGCAGCAGGCATGGAGAAGCAAATTTTTTGTTATTATTCTCTAACCAAAGCAAAAACTACTCTTAAATTATTATCTCCTTTGCGTGAACCTAATTTAACAATTCGGCTGTATCCTCCGGGCCTTTTTTGATATCTTTTTCCTAGTTCCTTAAATAATTTGTCTAGTACTCGTGTTTTTTCTTTACTTTGCTTTTTTTTTACTTCTACTCTTTTTTTGTTTACTAAATAACGCAAAGATAGCCGGTATAAGTGTTGGCGTAGTTCTTGGTTTTCTTTTTCCTTTTCAACTCTTTTGGCTCAGCCAATCAATTTTGCTAATAACTTAGTTAAAGATTTAGCCATCGGCAAACTGGTCTTAATTCTTTCGTTGGGAGATAGAATGACGTCTGCTGCTAAATTATTGAGTACATGTTTTCTTCAAGCTGTATTTTTTCCCGATTTAAGTATAAATGACATATTTTTATTTTTAATGTAAACACCACAACCAGTTTAAAATTTTATTATTCAAAAAGGTTGGTTTTATATTATCTTTGTTTCTAGCATAATAAATTCCATAGCAAAAATTTTATATAATGTCTCTTACTTACCACTGCTCACAATTAAATCAACAAAAGCAAAACAAAAAAGTAATTTTAAATGGCTGAATAAGAAGAATAAGAAAACTAGGAAACTTGTTATTTTTTGACCTCCATGACTTTTCTGGTTCCGTGCAAGTAATCGTCAAAAATAAAAATTTAATTGACTTGCTGAAAAAATTAAACTCCGAAACTTTGTTAAAGATTAGCGGAATTGTCCGTCCAAAAGTTAGCCGTAATCAGCAGCAGCAGGAAGTAGAAATAGAGTTGGAAAAATACCAAATAATCAACGAAACCAAACTTTTACCTTTTGAAATCAAGGATGAAATAAATATTAATGAAGACACCCGCTTCCGTTATCGTTATTTAGATTTACGACGCAACATTAGCAAGAAACCTCTTATTGTCCGACACAATTTTCTCCACCACGTTAGAAATTATTTATACCAACAAGGCTTCATTGAAGTAGAAACCCCAATTTTAGCCCAAAATTCCCCTGAGGGTGCTAATTGCTTCGTGGTCCCCCGCTGCACTGGGAAAGCAAAGATATTATACTTTGCCGCAATCGCCCCAAATGTTTAAGCAGTTGCTAATGATGAGCGGTTTTGATAAACATTATCAAATTGACAAAAGTTTTCGTAATGAGGATGCTCGCAGTAATCGCCAAATTGAATTCTCGCAGTTAGATTTAGAAATGAGTTTTACTTCCACAAAAAAAATAATGAAATTAACAGAAAAGTTTTTGAAAAATGTCTTAAAAAAGTCCTTTAACTGCCAATTAAAAACTCCCTTTACTATCTTAACTTACCAGCAAGCAATAGAAAAATATGGTACTGATAAACCTGATTTGCGTGATACTGATAATAAAAATGAATTGAAATTTGTCTGAATAACTGATTGACCGCTTTTTGAATACAACCAAGAAACCAAAAAATATGAACCCTTTCGTCATCCCTTCACTATTCCAAAAAAAAAATATATTAAATCTTTTTTAAATGATAAAATTAGACCAGAAAAAATAATTTGTGAAGCCTTTGATTTAGTTTGCAACGGAGAAGAGGTATTAAGTGGTGGTTTGCGGATTTATCAACGAGAATTACAAGCAAAAGTTTTCACAATTTTGGGTTATAGTCCACAAAAACAAGAAAAGTATTTTGGTTATTTTTTACAAGCTCTAGAATTTGCCGCTCCTCCCCATGGAGGATTTGGTTTAGGAATTGACCGTCTGCTAGCCATAATTCTTAATTTAAAAAGTTTAAAAGAAGTCATTGCTTTTCCCAAAAACATTGATGGTAGTTGCTCCTTAACCGGAACTCCTAACTACTTTGAAAAGTAAAATTACTTAAATCTAAGTTGCCTTTTAATAATTTATTTAGCATAAAAGAGCCGCCTGCTTGCTACTTTTTGATTAGTTTCTTATTTCCTTAGAGAGCCGGAAGTTTTAGAAAAATACTCAATAGTTATCTCAATTTTATCGATCTCAGTATCATAACTAGGTAAATCAGAGTGCAATTTTGTAATCTCTTTAAAATCTTTTTCTAAACAAAAGGAAGGACACTCATTACAGAAATTCATATAAGGAATTACCTCAAAAGGAACAATTATCAAAATATCAGCGTTAACAAAACTTTTAGGATAGTTTTCACTTTCCAAATAAGGACAACGATAGAGAATTTTATACCGGCCAACATATTCCTTATAATCATGTCTATTGGAAGTAATAGGGAAGAAAAATAATAACTTCTTATCTTTATTTATTGAAAACAAAAGATAGTATCGATCTCCTCTATAGTCTCTGTATTTCCCTTTTCCTTTGTAATTAGTTCAAAACTTAACAACTTTGTTTTTATGTAAGGGAGGGGATGGTCATACAATTCTTAATTAATTCAATCCTGCTTCTTTCACTATGTGTTTTAACACATCTCGATAGAAACCTTTTACTTTTTCATCAATAATCATTTGTGAGTCATCTTCTTTCATTATTTTTATTTTTCTACACCTCTCTTTTCAGGATATATCGCTATGAGAAAAATCTTCTAGTTCTTGGTCGGAATTATTTTTGAAATAACAGTAAGTCTTATTAATGAACTTTTTATCCTCTTCTTCTACTGGTATTTGTTGAGGTGTTAATTTTTCTTTATTAAGTTGAAAAAAATTCATGAGAATTTTGTAAACTAATGCTCCTCGTGGATAAGCCAGTAAGCTTTCCTGAAAAAGCGGTTTTCCATGCTTGGAATAATAGAGCATATAACAAATATGAAGCATTTTATTTAATCGAAAATTGCCGATAGTAGGATTAACTTCATCTGTGATTAAACTCATTTTCCCATCTTTTTTAAAATATTCTCGGTGAGGGTCATATGATAATAATAGTCTAGATATTTCTACTGCTGAATATTTTCCCCTCTCTAATAAAAAATCGTTGTCTTTTTGAAAGTTTAAATTATTCAATTTTCCTCCTGCCCTAAATTGTTCTTGCCGAATTAATTTATTGTTTTTCATTTT